CATAATGACAATTGGCAAGACGTCGTTGTCAACGCATCTGATTCTTGGCGCAGCATGAAATACGAAGTTCGTAACTACTAGTCTACTAATAGGAAGAACTCTTCTCTGACCCTTAGATAGGTAAGAAATGATAGAAAACTTCCAGGCCATGGAGAACCATTCATGACCTTGGTACTTGGTACTATGCCTTACACGTGTATCGATGTGAATGCGTGAAGTACATGATAGGAGCAGTGATAATCCATAGAAGGCGTGCCTACTTGTTTGCCTCCTCTCCGGATCGAGACGTAGCTGACCCCACTACGTCAACTTGAAGTGGTTGCCAGCTTACAGGCCGATACGGTACCAATGTATCGTCCGTACACATGGACAAACCGATAATGCACCGAAAGGCGGGGTGATAAGGGCGTGGATGTAGCCCAGAGGGGTGTGTTCCCAATTGCCAGTTGTTAGTGGTACACTGTAAAAGATGCCCCATGAGTAAAAAGGCAACGCTAACTGTGTAAGTGGGTGTAGAAAGGCGCAGAAAACAGCAACACAAAGACAAAGATAAAGACGAAGACAAAGAGGACAGAGATAACAAAGAGTCGTGACGAGATACGGAACGTATCTTCCAGAATCATCAATATTCTGACAAGACTGAGAATTCAATGCGTACAGTCTGTATCTAGACAAGGCTGCAATATGATGAATGGCTACAGATTGCTTCGGTCAGTGGCATGTGTCAACCAACCACCCCCGGTTGAAATTTTTCATGGCCGCTAGCTGGCGCTTGAAGCCTCTAGAAGATTCGTGCTGCTAGTAAAGCGATCTATGATAGACCCCACTCCAGGGGGGTGTGGCTAATGAGGGGTAACGTGTAGGCTCTAGGCCCAGACCAAAAATCAACCGCAGGCCCCTCCTCGACCATTCATCTACCTTACCTTACCTTCCACCACCACACTGCGCATTTGGGCAGCGTTTTTTATTTTATTTTGTTGTTTCTCCCTTCCGGTCTCAAGAGAAATCACACAATCCTTCCCCAATCCTCTTTGCGTTTGGAGTCGCTAAGAACCATCGACGCTCAGGTACTAAATAACTCCTCCCCGTCGACCTAGACAATCCTGCTCTATTCCCTATTTCCCGCCCCTGCTCTCGCTCTCGCTTCCTCAACCCTTCCCGAGCATCGTCCATCTATCCGGCTTTCTCTCCTTCTTGACGCCATCCTACGGACCCTCTAACCAATTCGACTCTTACCCGCAGACCCTAGTCAATTGTCATCGACGAGATACTCTCCGCTTGTTTCCGTTCGCTCAGTCAACATGAGTGTCGTTGGTATGTGATTCCGGCACAGGCATTTCCATATGCTGGCTTGTGTCACTTGTCGCTTGGTCTCTATTCACTAATACGGGCGTCTCCTACTAGGTATTGATTTCGGAACGCTCAACACGGTTATCGCCGTGGCGAGAAATCGGGGCGTTGACGTGGTGCGTGATAGCCCTTCTACTCATACCGTATCCCCGATTTTTTTATTGTGCAGCTGACGGGTCACTTGTTGATCACCGGATTAATTAGATCACCAATGAAGTTTCAAACCGTGCCACGCCGTAAGTATCCTCCTGCCCGGCTGATCATGGCTCAGCTAGCCGAGCGTCGTCGACTCTTGACTAATATCGTCGGTTTACAGTTCGCTCGTGGGATTCGGCCCCAAATCTCGTTACCTTGGTGAGCCTGCCAAGACGCAAGAAATCTCCAACCTCAAGAACACTGTCGGCTCTCTAAAGCGCCTCGCTGGTCGTGCTCTCAAGGATCTTGACATTCAGATCGAGCAGCAATATGTCTCCGCCGCCCTCGTCGACTGCAACGGCCAGGTCGGTGCTGAGGTCACATACCAGGGCAGAAAAGAGAGGTTTGCCGCTACTCAGTTGGTTGCGATGTTCTTGAGCAAAATCAAGCAGACAGCCACTGCCGAGCTCAAGTTGCCAGTAAATGATGTTGTTATGAGCGTGCCCCCTTGGTTCACCGACGTCCAGCGACGGAGCATCCTCGACGCTGCCGATATCGCTGGCCTCAAGCCCCTCCGGATCATGAATGACACCACCGCCGCCGCCCTGGGTTACGGTATCACGAAACTCGATCTGCCTTCTGAGGACCAGAAGCCCCGCCGCGTCTGCTTCATCGACATCGGCCACAGTAATTACTCCTGCTCAGTCGTCGAGTTCAAGAAGGGCGAGTTGACTGTCAAGGCTACCGCCTTCGACCGCCATTTCGGTGGCCGTGATTTCAACATGGCTCTGCTGAACCACTTCCAAAAGGAGTTCAAGGGCAAATACCGCATTGATATCACCACCAACCCCAAAGCTATGGCCCGTGTCGAAGCTGCTGCGGAGAAGCTCAAAAAGATTCTTTCTGCCAACCAGCAAGCTCCCCTGAACATTGAGTCCCTCATGAATGATATCGACGTCAATGCTATGGTCACCCGGCAAGAGTTCGAAGCGCTTGTCGAGCCTCTCCTCAACAAGGTCGTGGCGCCGCTTGAGCAAGTGCTTGCTGATGCCGGCATAACCAAGGACGATATTGATTTCATCGAACTGGTTGGTGGTAGTACACGTATGCCCGCTATCAAGGAGAAAATCCAGAACTTCTTCGACAAGACTCTGTCTTTCACTCTGAACCAGGATGAAGCTATCGCTCGCGGTTGCGCTTTCGCTTGTGCTATCCTGTCGCCCGTTTTCAAGGTCCGCGACTTCTCCGTGGCGGACATTGTTAACTACCCTATCGAATTCTCTTGGGAAAAGGACGTTGACATCCCAGACGAGGATACTAGCCTTACTGTCTTTAACAAGGGCAACGTGCTGCCTTCGACGAAGATTTTGACTTTCTATCGGAAACAACCCTTTGATCTGGAGGCCCGGTACTCCAACCCCGAAGATCTCCCTGGCAAGGTCTCACCCTTCATTGGACGTTTCTCCGTCAAGGGCGTCAAGGCTGACCCTAAGACCCAATTCATGATCTGCAAACTCAAGGCCCGGGTTAACATTCACGGTGTATTGAACGTAGAAAGTGGTTACTACGTCGAAGACCAAGAAGTCGAGGAGGAGATCAAAGATGAGAAAGACAGTGAGAAGAAGGATGGCGATGTAAGTGACTTGTCTCTTGAGTTCCGCCATTAGACTGAGAGGCTATTTAACTTTTTTGTCCCTTTTATGTCACCTTCTCTAACACTTTAATTCTAGGCCATGGACACTGACGACAAGAAGGACGACGGCAAGCCCAAGACACGCAAAGTTAAGAAACAGGTCCGGAAGGGCGACTTACCAATTGTCGCCGGAACCACTTCGCTCGATATTAATGTCAAGAATGCCCTAGTGGAGAAGGAGGCTGCCATGCTTATGGAGGACAAACTAGTCGCCGACACTGAAGAGAAGAAGAACGAACTAGAGACCTACATTTACGACATGCGGAACAAACTGGACGACCAGTACGCCGACTTCGCTAGCGAGGATGAGAAAGACAAAATCAGATCTAAGCTCACCGCGACCGAGGTAAGTTCTTTGAAACCCCGTGCTCCACCATGAAAGATGACTGACATTTGGGCAGGACTGGTTGTACGAGGAAGGTGAAGACAGCACCAAGGCTGTCTATATTGCCAAGATCGACGAAATCCGTGCCTTGATTGGTCCTATCAGCCAGAGATACTTCGACAAGGTAGAGGCCGACCGCCAAATCTTGCAAGCCAGACTTGACGCCGAGGCGGCCGCGAAGAAGGCAGCCAACCAGGATGCTCACAAGGGAGGCGAAGAAGGCAACAGGGATGAGGAGATGACAGATGTCGAGGCCGTCAAACCCGACTCGGAATAATATGCTTCTTTTTAGAAAATATCCGATCCGACGAACACTTTTTAATTAAGCCTTTAGCTGAAAAAAAAACGTCTCGTCGAAGTAAAGACGGGGGTGGCTGACGGATTGAGAAGATTTCAAAAAAGTAATGACTTGCAAATGGAAGCTGGCCCGGGAGAAACTGAACTGGATGCGGTTGATAAGAACGACTGATGATGGGTTTGGTCAAAAACGAGATTTTATATCTCTCCCTTCCCGAGTCCTGAAACCAAAGAAGCAGGGTTTGCCGATGGATGGATGTTAGAGATAGACTATGGTACCTCTCAAATAGGTAGTATACACAACAACCACACGCACACAAACAACACACAAAAGGTTGGCTGGCTATATTCAAGATAGACTTATCCGGAAAACGGATATGTTACATTCATGACTACAATTATTATTATTTTCCCTTCTCTTGCAGGTGCTATGGTTGTGAATGGATGGTACGAGTACGATGGAAGTAGAGATGGGGATGAGTTGAGATGTGGTGTTTGATTGAGGTCGTGGTTAATTGCTTTGGTTTGCGAAGAATGGAATCAATTGCCGTTATGGAGGATGGGAGTTTGTAAGTTGTAACAGTAGAAAGGCAAGTGAGGAAAGGATAGTGACTCATTGCTTGACAGGGCGGGTCGGACGACTTGATAGAGATTTGCAGATGCTTCGCTCTCTGTCCGTTTATGGTTATTTCAAGGTTAATTGTTTACGAGGGTTAGGGTTTAATGAATGGTTTCTTGTCGTAGATATGCCCTTCTGAGAGATGGTACGTTTTCAGGGATGCCACCCATGCTCTGAGTAGGAGGAGGATTCTGCTAACTGGTAGGTAGGTAGGTATGATCGGAAAGCGACGTCAAGATGTAAGTATCATAATATGTATCATGCATGCTCAGCTCGAGCAACTTATACTACATGTTCAGATACCTACGAACTACCTGTACTGAGGCAAAAAACATCCTATCCCTATCCACAAGCCGCCCTCGCCCCATTTCGTTCATTCCATTCCACCCTCTCCGATTACCTAGTCTCTCTAAATACCTCTTAGTCCACTTCGAAATTTTTTTTTTTTTGTTTTCTTTTTTTTTTAAGTCCCACGAAACCAACGAAACTCCACCTTCCCAGTTCATATGAGAAAGCGAACTGGCCTCGTGGCCTAATGGCATGGCGTTAGATTTCGGTCATATCCCCCCCACCTCTTTGTGATTGTTCAAGATAAACATTCACGAAAACAACAAGGGTTAAAATTTGACTTCTCTAAAGATTGTCGGTTCGAATCCGGCCGAGGTCGGCAGTACACATACATACACACATACACACACATGTGTTCATGTATTCATGAATTCTCTTAATGTACTTTATCCGAATTGGTGTAGTGGCTAACATTTGACGCTCTCAAAACAAACTGTCTTGTAAACTCCCTCCCCACTTGATAAAAAAGAGTTGGGTAAGGTTGTCAATAGAATGTGGCGGTGCCGTCAAGCCCGGGGTTCGATTCCCCGATTCGGAGAGAGAGAGATAGCTTCGGGTGGGTGTTGTTGTTCGTGAAAACAATTTTTTTGTCTTTTTTTTTTGGATTTGTGAATATGAGAAAATGCACCTACCTAGAGGGCCGGATGGGTTTCGGCGGGGTAGATAGATACCTTCTGAAAAGAAAAGAAAAGCAAAAAAAAAAAAAAAACTCAGACTAAGTGGGGGATCGGCAGCTGGACCGCTCAATTTTTGAAAATGAGGCTTTGGCTTCAAAGTGAGTGGTTGGCACCGGTGGTTGTGGACTGCAGTGTAGGGTAGGTAGGCAGGGTATGGCCGATGTGACGAGATCTAACCTGAGATAGACAAGGTACATAGCTGAGGTTGGGAAAGAAGCCGAAGAGTAGGTATTGAAGTCGAGAGCATACATAGGTATCTCGTTCACTTTGGTCCGCCTGCGTTTGGATAGGTATCTCATCTGCCTTACCGCAGTCGCTAAAATGGGAAAATCAAAACCGCCTCACCAAAACTATTGGATGACGGCGATTGAATACGGAATAATCTCACAAGCCGAGCCTGAGTACGGCGATTTATGGCGCTTTAAACGATGATAGGCCTTACCCTTGCTTCATTACGTCGTTATCGTGTTTCTGCCTAACTACTCCAATTCCTCTCGCCCCGGTGTAGGTTCAGGAAGGCGATGTCCAACGTGGTCGTCAAAGTAGCTCAAATGCAGTTATGCCTGTGCCGAATCACGCAGCACGTATTTCGTGTTTCGTACACCGAATCAAAGCATAGCCATTCTCATTACCTTTCTGTGAGTAAGATCGATATTGCCCTGTCAGCCTGAAGGATCGTAGAATGAGTCTCTCTGACACAAACAAGACCGTGATGATGGGGGTTTCATCACGGAAGGCGGATGGCACGGAAGCGGTTCCCCGTCCCGTCAGATGGGTTGCATGAGCCAACCCGCGCTCCGAGCCGATCCACTTTTGCGCTCTTTGCCGATCTATGCGATTCTCAAGAACATGGTCGCACGTGCCAAGACCATAATTACGTTTGCGCGGGATTATCGCCGCGCACTGTCGCGACCCCACCTAGCTTCGTGGCTGTATCTGGCCTGAAGGTCCTTGCATTTCAGGCAGCTTAGCGGTCGTGGGGACAAAAAATACAGTGTTAAAATACTGCTAAAGAAAACTGTTTCATCCGGCTACGGATATATTTACGTAATGGTCGATGACTTCCGCGGGGTTTCGCACCGGATTGGTTATGCAAAATCTCGGGTTGTTTCGCTTAAGTCCTTATCGCTGTAGCATCGTTTTGGCGTCCGCAAGCCTAGGTAGGTCAGGTCAACTCCAACAAATTTGTTTAATTCACTATTCCAGCCCGAAGCAGAAAGCTTGTGCAGTTTGTTCGGTTCCACGTTTTGAATCAATCTCCCGCGAGCAAGTTTACTCCAAAGATTCCCACAAAATCCGTCTCGCGCTATCCAGTCACAGCTGGACAACTCTCATTATCGTTTTCTCGGCCTGCGTTTGAGAGAACAGGCATGTTTTGGCAGTCCGAACTGTCCAGCCCTACCCCTCCCATAACTGGTACGCTATCTCGTTCTTTGATCTAACGTCGCAACTCTTCTGGGGCCCCACCTTACCATCTCCCACCAGCTTGTAGACTCCGGACTACGACCTGACCGAAGACGTCTCTTTTTTTGTTACCCAATTCCATTCCACTCTGTTCTCGTTCTACCCCGGCGAACGGTGTATGACCCTGAACCGCGTTCTTGACACAGGACCCAACTCCTAGATCTAGATTATACGATTATACGAATAAACCACCAACATGGCGCCGAAAAAGAAGGGAGGCAAGAAGGCAGCCGACGACTGGGAGGCTGACCTTGGTGAATCCATTGCACCAACAAATGGCGATGCCGTCGCCGCCCCCGCCCCCGCCCCCGAGGAGAATGGCGAGGAGGACGGTGCCCCTGTCGGTGGTCTCATGGCCATGATGAAGAAGAATCGGGAGAAGCGAAAGAAGAAGGGCTTGTCTGAGAACTTTGTCGATGGCGAATCTGCGCAGGCCGCTGCCCCAGAGGCAGTTGATGTCAGCTCGTTTCAAGCTCCCCAGGAAGCGACCGTAGACGACGAGTTTGCCCTGCCGGAGAAAAAGGGCAAAGGAGGAAAGCAAAACAAAAAGGAAGCCCCTGCCAAGGCTCCTGCTAAAGCTGCTCCTGCTGCTGATGCCGACGGAGACGATGTTGGCGAGAGTGGTAGAGTCCTCACCAAGTCCGAGAAAGAGAAGCTGAAGAAGGAGAGAGAGAAGCAAAGGAAGAAGGAACAGGTAGGTCTTGCTACTTTGTCTTGGACAACTATTTGGGTCCTAATGCTTGCTATCTTCATCTAGGCTGCGAAAAAGAAGCCTGCCGCAGCAGCGCCCGCTGCGAAGACGGCCGAGCCCGCCAAAGCCGTCGAGCAGAAGAAAGAAGCGCCTGAGCCTGCATCTGCACCTGCAGCAGACACCGCCGCTAAGAAGGGTAAAAAGCTGCCACCGCATTTGGCCGCTATTCAGAAGCAACAAGAAGAGTTACGGCGGCAACGTGAGGAAGCTGAACGGACCGTCGAACTCGAGAAGGCTCGCGTTGCCGAGTTAGAACGACTGGAGGCTGAAGAGATTAAGCGAAAGGAAGAGGAACGAGCACGTAAGAAGCAGAAGGAAAAGGAGAGAATCGAACAGCTCAAGAAAGAAGGAAAGTATCTCACCAAGGCCCAAAAAGAAGAGAAGGCCCGCAATGAGAGGAAGCTTCAGCAGATGATCGCTGCCGGTCTCCAGGTTGGACCCTCAGAGGATGGCGAGGAGAAAAAGAAGAAAGTTACCTACGACAACAAGAAACGAACCAAGAGAAGTGACCAAAAGGTTTGTTTTCATTGCTTCCGGCTGCTCTCGGCATTGTTACTAACTCTTCATAGATTGACGAAGAGAAGGTCCTAGCTGAGGCTGCCGAACGAGCGAGAATACAAGCTGAGGCTGCTCTTGCTGCGAAGGAGGCTGAAGCCAAGGCTGCTAAAGAAGCTGCTGAACGGGCCGCTGCCGAAGAGGCTGCCAAGAAGGCCCTCGCTGACGAAGTTGAGGATGATTGGGAGGCCGCAGCGGCCTCCGACGCGGACGTCAAGGACAGCTGGGACGCTGATTCGGATGAGGAAGCGGCAAAGAAAGCTGCTGCCAAGACTACCGCCAAGCAATCAGCGCAAACGTTGCCCTCACGACCTAAGTCCAAGCCTGAAGACTCCGAGTCCGAATCGGAAGAGGAGTCTTCTGAGGATGAGGAGCAAAGCGCTGCTCGGGCTGCTATAGCTCAACGTAAGAAGGAAGCTGCCGAGCGACGCGAGAAGGCTCACGAAGCTGCTCTAGCCGCCAGGTCCAAAGAAAACCTTCGATCTCCTATCTGCTGTATTCTGGGTCACGTCGATACCGGAAAGACGAAACTGCTTGACAAAATTCGACAGACCAACGTGCAAGAAGGAGAGGCCGGTGGTATTACGCAGCAGATTGGTGCTACGTACTTCCCAGGTTTGTTATAAAGCCATGATACACTTAGAGGTCAGCGACTAATACTTTACTAGGTGATGCCATCAAACAGAAGACTGCTGTGGTAAACCAGGACGGGAAGTTCGAATTGAAGGTCCCGGGTCTCCTGATTATCGACACACCGGGTCACGAGTCCTTCTCCAACTTGCGTTCCAGAGGTTCTTCGCTTTGTAACATCGCCATTCTGGTTGTCGATATTATGCACGGTCTTGAGCCTCAAACCCTTGAATCGATGAAGTTGCTGCGTGACCGGAAGACGCCCTTCGTTGTGGCGCTCAACAAGATCGATCGTTTGTACGGGTGGAAGAAGGTAGACAACAACGGCTTCCAAGAAAGTTTGGCTCTCCAAAGCCGCGGTGTGCAGAACGAGTTCAAGAACCGTCTGGAACAGACCAAACTCGCCTTTGCCGAACAGGGATTCAATGCTGAGCTCTTCTACGAGAACAAGTCTATGGCCAAATATGTGTCATTGATACCAACATCCGCAATGACCGGAGAGGGTATTCCGGACATGTTGAAGCTTATTGTCCAGTTGACGCAGGAGAGGATGGTTGGCTCGCTGATGTACCTCTCCGAAGTGCAGGCCACTGTCCTGGAAGTCAAGGCAATTGAAGGCTTCGGCATGACTATCGATGTCATTCTCTCGAACGGTATTCTTCGAGAGGGTGATCGGATAGTCGTATGCGGTGTCGAAGGAGCGATCACTACCAATATCCGAGCACTGCTTACCCCGGCAGTGATGAAGGAATTGCGTGTCAAGTCACAATACGTGCACAACAAAGAAGTCAAGGCTGCTATGGGTGTCAAGATTAGTGCACCTGGTCTTGAAGGCGCGATCGCTGGCTCTCGATTGCTCGTGGTCGGCCCTGACGATGACGAGGAGGATCTAGAAGAAGAGGTCGAGTCGGACTTGAACAAGCTGTTCAGCCGCGTTTCCACGTCAGGACGCGGTGTCAGTGTACAGGCCTCTACGCTGGGTTCGCTCGAAGCTCTTCTCGATTTCCTCAAGGACTGCAAGATTCCAGTCGCCAACGTCGGTATCGGCCCTGTATTCAAGCGTGATATCATGCAGTGTGGTACCATGTTGGAAAAGAGTCCGGATTACGCTGTGATGCTGTGTTTCGATGTCAAAGTTGATAAGGAAGCGCAGGCGTATGCCGAGGAGAACGGCATCAAGATCTTCACTGCTGATATTATTTACCATTTGTTTGACGCCTTTACGAAGCACATGGACGATCAGCTTGAGAGGAAGAAGGAAGAGTCCAAGTTGCTCGCTGTCTTCCCCTGTGTGCTTAACACGGTGGCGGTGTTCAATAAGACCAACCCCATTGTCGTGGGGGTTGATGTAGTAGACGGCAGTCTTCGAGTTGGAGCGCCGATAGCAGCGGTCAGACAGGGTCCAACGGGCAAAGAAATCGTCAGCATGGGCCGAGTGTAAGTCGAATCTCATCAACGAGC